ACCTTATGTAAACAATCATGTAGCGGAGGCACCCTGTTAACTCGCTCCCACCTTAACTATTAGTCACATGAGTGACCGACAGACGACGGGTAACTCCATGAGTGACTCCGGGATCAAAAAGCACATTATGGTCAATTCTCACCACTTCATTAGCTCGCATATTAAACAAGTCCATGCAGTGAGCAACCATAGCTGCTGTTCACGCAGCAATGAGATTGCGATCCGCTCCAGCTAAGAGACAGAGGCCTGAATTGCATTAGGTGAAAACCTGTCTGCTGCTGCTTCTTCTGGTGCAGGCTTACGCAATGACGCACCACGTACTTTAAAAAGGTTACAAGCTAGAACTTATATAATCTAGCGAGTCAGATAGCGGCACCGACTCATCGAAGGCTGCCGTGAAGACAGAATCAAAAGCGGCGACGACAGACTCAAGCAATTCGATTTCGCGAAGCGCCATGATACTTGATGAGCGTCGTGAAACATTTTAGTCGACTGACGAGTCGAACGCTACGTCGTTAAGGCGGAGTCGTTGTCTTTAAGGCGATAAGGGAGAAAAAAGATCCAGCTGAACTACGACGACGGTGACTACGGAACACGTCTCAATCAAGACGACTGTGCTAGAAGTGGTGTAGGTACTTTTTTGGCACCACGCAGATTATTAGATATCACAACGTTATTCGCGATGATCTAAAGAATAGGCGGTTTTGTCTCCTCAGAGAGTGTTAAATCGCTAAGTACGACATAGTCAGCAATTTTTATCGAATAAGGCTTGTCGAGTCATAACGGCTTCATATACTTACATTTAAGTAAATTTTCGCACAGGGCACAATTTTTACATCGTTGATTTTTACAATAAAGATGGTGCAACGGAAACTGTAAGTGTGGTAGAGCCTAAAAGATCCTGGCGTGGAAAACTCTATCCATTACTTTGGGAAGACAAGGCACCAAACCTGTCTTCACACGCTGTCCCTGTCTCGCAATAAGCTTAAAGATCGAAATCATAGGAGTGTACTTTTAAAAATGCATCGTTAACCTACAAAACGCGGGGTTGTCAAGCCTTTTCTGGTGTAATTCGTGCCTATGTCCTACTAAAAACTTGACACGACCTTCTAAAGAATATTATTAATAACCTACACCCGGTGGAGGGCTCATGCATCGTCGGAGATGTACGAGAGATAGCTGACATTACAATTGCGTAAAGCGTCGGTTCTAATTTGGATCTACTTTGGCATCAGGTATGTCTTGTCACACTGCTTGATGAAGTTCAACACGACCGGCATCAGTTGCAAGCGGGGTTCCCATATGTCTGCTAAGGGTGGGTAGCCGCGCCACCTAACGAGGTATCTTGTCTAACTTTTTTTTTTTCACATTATGGTGGCTCGCCGTCATTCCACGTGGAAGCGTTTAACACAGCGAGTATCAACCAATGGATAAGGCATACAAAAAGCGCATCCTCTTATGGTGTCACGGGGCTACTTGATGCTGTTAGTCAGCTCCACCGCGTAACGTTTGATTCGCGCGAGGATAAGAACACGAAAGAGGCAGGCGCCTGAATTGCTTGGAAATGTGAACCGTCCGAGATCAGATAGGGAGAAGGGCAGAGCAGATGTTATATTTTTTTAGCTGGAAAATGTGTAAGGAAAGCGTGTTCTCCGCAAAGAGGTGATAGATGCTCGTCAGGATACCTCTTGGTTTTACGAAGAACTATCTAAACTTCCGACGCAAGCTGAGAGCCAGCAGCATGATCACAAGTATCTGGTGGAGATGCTAAGGCGCAAAGACTTACTTTACCGCAAGAAGACCCGTATTAATAGTACGGCCTTAAGCAGTAAGCGTAGAACCGGATGCGTGCGTATCTTACATGGCTTTTCAAACGCACAGGCGTTGCCTGGGCGAAGCAGCACATGAAATGAACTAATAAACGTGAGCATTAAACTGTCGCAATCCACTAAAGTCACTATGTTTCGAGGTAAGTAGTAAGTGGATATCAGGACTAAGTCTCCTTCAATTGAATAAAAATACAATTCTTCTCCATTTTATCAGTGTTTCGTTTTGTCGATCTACCGCTTCTGCGATTCGCGATACAGTGTTAAATCATCTGCTGAACCACTGCATTTAGCTGCAATGCTCTTGTAGAGTACTGTAGCGAATTCTTTTCGGCTTTTCTATAAAGCCATCTTGCTACTGTACTCTTTGGACGCACTAGGCACGATGAAGATTTAAGTAGTATCGTGGCCAGTAAGAGCATCTTTGCTCTTACTTTCGTCTTCTTCACTAAAGTCGGTGTGATCGACATCGACCCCGGACGTGGTGACCATTTTTTTTTCAGCACTTGGAGAAGAAGATTCAGCTTGACGTTCAGTAAAATAAGTCTCTTCTTCTTCATTTACTGGATTTTCACTCTAAAAGGTGGGAAGACGCAGATGGAGTGAGCAATGAATGAAGAACAGCGTTTGCGTCTTCGACGCATGGACAGAAGTTAATGGCGAGCTCAACCATCAGCATTAATTTGATCCAATGTGTAAGCAATGGATGTATTCATGAAGTAAATCCTTGAAAACAGTATTCGCGCGCTTTGTCTGTCCATCTGTTTCAGAAATGTCAGAAGTTGACATCACTGATCAATTTACAAGTGTTTCATACAAGAAACGCCGATTACTATTCAAAATTGATATAAACTTTACAAAAGAAGGAAAAAAGTGATAGATTTTACGATAATCTGATACAGAAAATGCCAATATTTTTTGGATGGTGAAAGCTGATCTGGCGTCACATTTGAATCACAAACTGCTCGGGCTTGCCACTCGTTTACGAGTTGGAGTGAGTTCTTGCCGATGGCGGAATTTGCCGCCACTAACAACTCGGTGCATGCGTCGACAACGCATACACCGTTCTTTGTGAATGGCCTACGCCATCCACATTTACCCGCCTTCTTAGAGTGTGACTCTAGTTTAAGGGGGGGTGAACCCGCTCGAACACAAGCCGATCTGTCTCTTGCTCTTCACCCGTCGACAATGGTGTCGACGTGATGCCGATGTCGATGCGATCGACATCGATAATGATGATGACGACGGTGCAGGGTAAACTGCGTAGCCCAATTAAGGACGACTTAATAAAGCAACCCATGGAGGTAAAGGCCGTATCGATACGATATAAGATAATACCCGTGTATTGATTGACTTAAGGAGAGCTTCCCGATTTACTATCTTTCTAAATCTGTCGACTGACAGAAGAATACCAGTATTGTCTAAAAAACTATGATAGTATTTCTAAGTCAACATCAAGTGGGGTAGATCATCAGTATTTAGTCGAAATGACACATCTTGTTACGGGGATTGAAAAAGAGTACTAGAATTTTCTTGTTGATAGCTTTTTAAGGCACAGACGTACTTTCACACGTACTTACACCGGTTGAGCCGGCGTAAGTCGCCGCTCACTGTGAGGGTATGTTTTCTCACGACCGCGATTTCCATCAACAGGGCGTCTAGAAATACTTATACATAATAAGCAATTGCAGATCACCATGATCTGGTACGTCGACACTAGGTGTGTCGTCAGCAACACCCAAATATTTGGGTAAGCCATTGCAAACTTTGTATCAACCCATAGAGGATGTAATTGCCAATAAAGACTGTTTAATGCCTTTCTTAAATAGGTGCGAGAGATGAAGAATCAATTGCACCATCTCCATTTCGTTCACCGTTCGTAAGTCTTACATAACGACGACGACGGTCCACTTAGAGTCAGCGCCGCAAAAGTGGTCGAATTGGTGTCGGGTGGCGCACCCGGTTTGAACTCAGGCGGGAGCGAGTGTGCGTCTGTGAAAAATGTTAAGTCGTCTTAGCTTACGCTCGACGAAGAAGTTGCACTCCGCAAATTACGACAGCCATTTCTCCATACGCTGCGATAGGGGTGATCTTGTTACGGCTGTGCGTAGAAATATTGATACGTACAGACAACGAAGAATCTATCACCTAGCAGATAGACATCAAATTACCCAACGTGTACTGAATAGGAAGGAGTTCCTTGTAAAGGATGAGGTAATTTTTATGTAGCTAATGAAACGGCGCTAGAATTACCCGTTCTTACCTTACACTATTTTTAACGCTTTAAGGAAGCCTCAAAGCCCAAGTCTTGGTTGTTTAGTATTTTTAACTCTGTTCATGCATTTGTCTTTCAAATATCCTAAGTGCAAATGGTTCCGTTGGACTTACGATTATCATAAATCTATGCGCCTACACCTGACTGGCTAATTTTGATGTTGAGCCTATCAAACCAGCTGAAACATACGACGTGCTACTTTCACTACCTCGAAAGAAGCACCCCTACTTGAGTATCATGCAAACTTAATCGGAACTACTTTTGTACCAGAATGGCCCACTACATCACCCCCTTCTCAAGACAGAACTCACGAACCATGATTGCGTTACCTCAAGACCCAACGGACGCACAAGCCAAAGGATGACTGAAGACGCAAACGCCAACACCACAGCACTCCCGTGCACTGTCAGCGGGATTTCGATAGATCACGTGATGGATCAGCACCTAATCCCTTGGGTGCTATACGACTTGTCTAAAGCTCGGGCTCCGGACTCTCTTGTAACGATGCAGGATTACTACTTCCGGCATTTCCGTGGGTTATGCGGGAAGAGTTTTGATGGCATCTCGTACGAGTCGCTCCAGCGTTTGGTGCGCGTTCATCAGGCGGTGGAACCGAATGCTCAAAGACGGCAGGAACTTTCAGCAGTGGCTTGCCAATCGCGAAGATGTCCACGCCGATCACTCAATTGATGTGCTGCGCGAAAATGTATGCGAGAATGCGTGGAACCTAGATCGACTGTGCTACGTTCACGTGAACGAATCTTGGTACTCCTGTGACTCGATGCCTCGTCCAACTCGCGAGACTTGGCAACGACGCGTCACTGAGCATCCACTCAGCGAATTAAAACAGCTCTGGTTCCAACGGTATGAGCGCAGCTTGATAGAGCGTAAGATCGAGGTTAAATGTGGTGCGTCAATCTGGCTACACCACCCACGTTCTCGAGGACGTGGTGCCACACGCTCGCCACGACGTTCTCGTTTGCGTGGTCGTGGTGGTACATGCTCACCACATCGTTCTCGAAATTGCTCTTGGTCTCGTAGTCGTGGTGACGCTTCACCACGACACAGTCGGCGTTCGTCTCGCTCTCGCTCACCGCGAGAACACTCAGGTCGTCAAACGAATTTAAACCAAGCGTATGCACAGATTCGTATGCACAAACGACGTCCACAACGTCTCGAAGAAGCGAAGAGCGCGGTTCCCACGTATCCTGCTCGGGTAAAAACCCGAGCCAACGTACACGATACTTGCGTGCGGTTGGAATGGCGCGCGCATGGTGTAGCGAAGATGTCGTTATGCAAAGAGGATCCTCGTAACCTAATCAACGTTCCACGATCCAGCGCTTTAAACTTTCCATATTCACAAGCGGTAATGGGCCCTCGCGATGGTAATGCTGGCGTCCTGGTCGCCTAGGATGATGAAGATGCGGCAGTGAGCAAGGCTGTCGATGCCTATCTGAAAGCTGAAGCTGCCTTTGATCGAGCTGCGTGGGCTTAGAGAACAGCGAGCAAGGATCGACAGTAGAACCGCGAGCTGCTTGAACGGATGCGGAACCTGGAACGCCAGGTTCTTGGGCGTGTGCGGAGTGGGACTCAGACGCGTCCGATGTCGCTGGCGCGTCAAGCAAGGTGAGAGGCGAGGTCGAACTGTGAGCCTTTGTCTCCGAAGATGAAGCCAATCCGGAAGCGTAGCTGGATGATACTCCTTGAGCCACTTATCGTAAAAACGTCGGGTGAAGTCGCAGTGACGAAGGAATTTTTTGTGTAAGCATCGCCGATCACCTTGGGTACCGTGAATGGGCCGATAAAATGTGGCGCGATTTTGCTCGTGTCGAGATTGTTTTCTGCTGAATATCGTAGGCCTTCAGTAGATAACAAAACACGATCACCCTTCTTGAAAGTACTCATGTTCTTTCTGCCACGTTTGTCTTCATTCAATGTCCTTTTTATTTACTGCATATCGAAGAGTATCGCGTACAAACATCGTGATGGCTTGACGTTGGAGTGTAAACTCTGAAAAGCCATGTCATCGATTGGTCGCACTGTTTAATCGGCGCGCAGTTGGCTTGCGGTCTTCGCATACCCGAAGAAGGGTCAATTAGTGTCTGTGCGGACCATTGATCTGGTGGGGACGCTGGCGTCAAAATAGAAGGCTCCACCTTGGATCGGGTGAGAACCTTCGCGCTTAGAATACTGTCAGCTGAACTCGATCGTTGCTTATCACTATCACCCCCCCCCCGCCTGAGTGGAGCCACGAAGAGCCGTATGTTAACCCACGGCAAGAAGAGTAGTTACACGAAGATGAGGGGCCGAATTTGCAAAAGACGGTCTCAACTTCGTTGACGCGTGAGCCGCATTGTTAAGTGCGAACTCCGCAAGTGGTAAAAATGCATTTAAACTCGTGAAGGAATTTGTGTAACTTCGAAGAACATCTTCGGGGACCCGATTGACCCGCTCTGTTTGCCCGAACGTTTTAAAATGGGCGGCTGTTGACATTTGCAGCTTCGTGCCAAGCAATACAAACAATGACGTCCGAAACGCAGATGTGAAACGAGGATCACGGTCCGAGACAATGTTGTATGGTAGACCGTGATGGCAGGACACGGTGTCGTTGAAGTGCACTGCGGTATTAGCTTCGGTGATCGTTGCATTTACAAGGAATAGATGTTTCATTTTGCTGAATCTGTCCATAAAGAACAGAATGCTCGTTCGGTCTTAACCATCGGGAGCAAGCCCGAAGATTAAGTCCATTGAAACTGAGCGCCAAGCCTCATCTGCAATTGTCAGGGGTTTGAGGGGTGCCTGTGACGATGGAGATGGCTTCACTCGTCGACACATTTTGCAGGAGCGAATCCACTTGCGAAACCACTTGTACATGTGTGGGTAGAAGAAGTCACGTGAGTCAGCAGCGATTTCCCCCCGCCCATATGATTGCGAGTTGGGGCATCATGGTACTCGTGGATGATACGAGACCGCAGATCCAAGTTATTCGCAATAACCGTTCTAGGTGCATCAAATTTATCGATGCTATATAGCAGCAAATTACCGTCTACACTGTATCGATGACTATGTTCCAGCTTCGTTCGCGATAGAGCTTCCAGTGCAGCATCACTGTGACCGCGCACATAGGTAATTGTGTCCGCATAATTTGGATCGTTCGCGTAAGGTGCGACAATTTATTGAAAAGGCATGACTCGGGTGTGACTCGAGTTAGATTCAGCGACACACACGTCACACATCGATCGTCTTCATCGTCGTCGTCAGCTGTTTGACGACTCAGTGCCATACGAGGATCGTAATCTGGACGTCGTGATAGTGCGTCAGCGAGAAAGTTAGTCTTGCCTGTCTTGTAGTGCACGACGAAGTTATACTCGGAGAAGAAAGAGAGTCACCGTGCCATCCGCTGCGACAGGTTTGGGCTCCTCATCGCTGTACGAAGCGATGCATGATCAGTATACAAGTCGAACGTGCGTTCGCCCAGTAGGTGGACCCGGAACTTAATGAGTGCTTAGCGCATAGCTAATGGCTCCTTTTTGTGGACTGGATAGTTCTTGTCCGCCGGCTTCATTATTTGGATTGGCAATTTACGACTCTTTCACGGCCATCATGATCAAACTGCATGAGGGCGCAACCAATTGCAACTTCACTTGCATCACACACCGCGTGAAATGGCTTAATGTCGTTAGGGAGAACCAACACGGGCGGTGACGCCAGGCTCTTCTTCACTGCTTCAAAAGCCGCTTGATGTTCGGTATGCCACGACCACGTGGCGTGATTCTTCAAAAGTGACGACACAGGCTGTATAGAACCGGCGTAGTCATTTGCGTAATTATGCAATTAATTAGCTAGACCGAGCCATTGAGCAACTCCGTAGGATTCTTGGTTGTAGGCCAAGAACAGATAGACGACACCTTCTCTGGATCGGCTCGAACTCCCGAGTTACTCACGTAGCAACTCAGCACCGGAATCTCCGGTGCACAGAATACACTCTTCTTTAAGTTAGCGTATAACTTGTTGTTCCGCATGACTTGAAACACCTGCTTTAGGTGTTGAAGGTGAACTTGTGCGGCGCTGAGGTTGCCCTCAGCGCAACTGTGGACAAAATGTCATCGAAGTAGCTAGGAGCAAAGTCTAGATGTGGTCTCAACACTTGAGAGACCATGCGATTGAAAGTGGCTGGTGCGTTCTTCAATCCTTGTGGAATCACTAGCCACTCCCATAACCTACCACTCGGGGTACTCACCGCAGTGAGTGGTGTGTCACTCTGTCGCATAAAAATCTGATAGAATACATCGGTCAAATCGAAAGCGGTGAAGATGACGCTTCCTGACATAGAGTTAAAAATCATGTCTTTTCTGGAGATAGGCGTTTGAATAGAGATAGTATTATCATTTATTTTGTGGAACGCATGCACTATACGCCGCCTTCCGTAGCCTTCTTCGAGCAGAAGGTTGAACTCGAATGGGGTGAGACACTCTCACGCACATGACCGGCCTTGCGACAATTTTAAAGAATGCATTTATAGCCTCTACCTGATCTCGAGGCAACGGCCACTGCCGTGTCACAAACTATTGGTCCTGGCACGAAATTAATCTTGTGCCGAACACCACGATCAGCACAAAGTTCAGCCGGAATCTTTTCCGGGTGTACGTCTGTGGACTCTCGAGCAGTGTCATAGACAGGGTAGCCAGACTTGCGCAGAGCCTTTTAAATTGCGATGCAAACCTTTCTTCGCGCGCTGACTTTTTTCAGCGCTTCCAGGGCAAGTCATTCGCTCCTCATTCGGCTCATAGGTCACCTCGTTGGTGATCAGACATACTTGTTCCTCCTTGCCTCCCTTGAAGAAGAGTTTAAATGCTAACAGGGGAGTCCTGAAAGGCTCGTAATCGACGACGCTTCTCGAGGTGGACTCGCGACCTCAATGTGTTGGCGCCTTTGTGGACTCCCGTCCACGTACACAATAGCGTGGACACATTCCAACGCTAAGTTCCCGTAGCTTGCGTCCCCATTGGGCTTCGAGTCCATGCTTGAAGCTGGCGAACCGCAGCCAGGTGTTAAATCTGCACCGCACTCTAGACGCTGAATGTCTTCATCCAGGACGTCAAAATTGCGCGAGGAAAGTAGCCGATCATCGTCAGTCGACGCATGATTCCGGAGCCCCTGCTTGACCGCCACAAACTCGTGTGGGAGCCCCTGCTCGACCACGTCTTGCTCATGTGGGAACGTCCGTTTGACCACAGCGGGTGATTGTAGGAACCCCTGTTCGACCATCGTGTTCGCACGTGAGGACTCCTGTCCATCCACGTCACACTCGGTGGCGATCCCCTGCTCGGCCACATCTTGCCCTTGTGGAAGCCTCTGTTCGAACACAATGGGTGAGGATGGGAACACCTGTTCAATCACTGCTCTCTCGTGCGAAACCTCTGTTCGAACGATTCGTTTGTGCGCAGACATCGTCACTCGTGCGTAGGAGCACGGAACAAGAGGTACAGAGTGGTCCATCGCTCACTCTATGCGCCGCCGGGGTCGCGAATGTACGATCCACGACTGTAACGTTCGGCCAATCACTAAAGGACACCAAGATATGGGTGAACCCTTCGCTGACGTCAAACTTGCTTCGACCGTCTCTCTTATCTGGCTAGCCAGTCGATCTGGGAATTATAGCGTGCCAACCATGGCATGCCCAGGATGCAATCAAATGCATCATTCACCTCAATCACCAAAAAATTGTCGTTGCTGCGAAAGCCGTCAAACGTGTATGGAAACGACACTTCGCGCCGCGATACGCGGCGTGGTTTTCCGTCAGCAAGCTTGACAGCAACTTGGACAGGTTCCTTGTGGATCTGGATGCTGGGTGGCAGATTGACACGCAAGATTCACAGAAGAAATTGTTTGTCGCTCCTGAATCGAGGAGCGCCCGTAGAGGTTGCCGGATACCGGCGACATGCAGACTAACAAAAATCAGGAGTGAATCACCAATTGTAGTGGTGGCATTTGACCTTCCACGCAGCACAGATAGGCTCGGATGTCGGAATGACACCGGTAGACCTGGATCTTCCTTCAAATCAGTAGGAAGTCCTGCGCCTACTGGTCTCGTTCGTTTTTGACGGACAAGATGAGTAAAAGGAGCACCTCTCTCATGATGGGTGTCCGCCGCATGCTCCAACATCTGTGCTGGCGCGCGGCATGCAGCCTCGCGATGTCCCGACTTTCGACATCGAAGGCATACCATCAGACGTCGCCATTGTAGGACGTTGCACGTCGGTCGGTCACCCGACGACTCAATTGCATCAATCTTAATAAGTTCCGGGCCCGCTGATCTGACAGCGGTAACAACGGGAGGTTTGGTAAAGGCCGTGGTGACTTTAAAGTCCTCACGGAGGACGATAGCACAAGCCTCCTCCAATGTGGCAGGCTCCGCGCGTTCCAGCGATAGGCGAGTCTTTCCTTCACGCATGCCATCGACAAACACGCTCACTTGTGTGTACATGTCCATGGTATTGGTGACAATGCACGAGGCTTGATGTCGAGCTATCTGCACGTAGTCGCACACAGACATCTTGCCCTGTATTAAGGACAGGAGCCTCGATTGCACCAAATTCTCTTCTTGTGGCGGCTCGAAGGCGAGTCGAAGATCACTCTGGATGGCTTCTAGAGTGTAAAATGCATACTCGTCCACTAAGATTGTACCTAGCGCCAACTCCTTGGCTTTATCACTGAGACGGATACGGAGGAATGTGACCTTTGCTTGATGATCCTCGAGAAGTCTCGAGGCGATAGCGATGTCAACCTTTCGGAACTCACGCGACAGCGACACGCGTTCTTTGCTTTTGCTACTAGAGTAGACGGAGGCCTCCATCTTTGCGGCATCGTTCTGTGAAGTTCGCGATGGAGTTAAACCTAGCCGATTTGATTCGGCGAATTCGCGGGCCATGAAGTCGTGTATGACGAGACGCTGTCCATCAGATGTCGCCAATTACATCAGCGACACAACGAATGCCCCTCCAGATATTGCCGCAAGGCGAATTAGGGCATTCCAATAAACACCAGTGAGATGGGGAAAAGTCGCTTGCTGCAGACCTACGTCTGGAGTGTCAACGTACGAAGTGTCGCTCATACCAAACTCGGGCAAGGGAAGGACTACTAAAGCTACCAGGTGTAAAGGGGCTAGAAGATCCCGTACTTAACTTACACTATTTCTAACGCTTTAAGGGAGGCCCCAAAGCCCAAGTCTTAGGTGTTAAGCACTTTTAACTCGGTTTAATATTTTGTCTTTTGTTCATCCTGGTTTCAATGGTTTCCCTTGGACTCATGGGAACCACTCAATTTACGTGCCTACACCTGACTGGCTAATAATGGGACTGAGCCTATTAAACTAGCTAATGTTAACGACGTGCTACTTTCGCTACCTCGAAAGTAGCACCCTTACTCGAGTAAAATGCAAAATTAATCGGAACTACTTACGTTACGGGGTGGCCCCTGACATCTAATAACAGCTGGTGTAAATAATAACAGACGACACGCTCCGCATCGTCCGCATCGTACTTCAATGATTCGAAGGCAAAGCAAGGATAGAGGAATCACAGACCACGTCATATGGCCTGTTTCAATCTAAAATTTCTAAACCTTGCAAAGTAATCAACCGTTGTGTGAATTGTTTTAAAGAGAGCTGATAGTCAGCACTTCACACCCACTTCCCGTTTTTTTTAAAAATACGAGATTTAGAAACATTCATCTTGTCGTGACAACAGAGTTATGTGTGCATATAATTCGCTACACCATGGATCTTTCAAGGCACTATTATTTCAATAGGCACCGGCCAGTCAGTGATCGACTTAATCTATTCTGGATAGGGCGAACACCAATCTTGTTCGCGACAAATTAAAGATGTTACATTTCACTAGAAGCAAATTTAATCTTCTTAAGATTGGCGTACAACATGTGCTCACGTGTAAGCGTAAGAACTGTCCGGACTTGGAGTTAATGCACCTCCACATACGTCTATCCATTCATATCCCGGCTATGGATGATCATATTATCGAATTTACTGGGCGCGAACTCTCTTACGGTTCTTAAAAGATTCGTTTGACACCTGTTAAATGTTACACAGGAATAACTTATCCCTGGTGTAAATACTATTCACATTCGAAGCACGGGGCTTGGAATGCTTGCTACAATTTGAAAAAAAAACTTATGCGCATTAGAAGCTTATAGAACAACCGATCTATGGATGAAAAGTTCTTACGATCAGCCATACCATCTAGAATGACTTCCTTTCTTGGCATTGGTGATTTAGCAGGTACATGTGGTAGATGCTAACTCGTTGAAGGTGTGTAATATCCGTTACCGAAAATGTGGTCTTTCGCACACAAAAAGTCGTAAAGCTCTGTGAAGAAGTGGACCGTATTTCATGGCCGTATGCTAAGCTAAATGCATGGAAAATGTCGATCGCTAGTAATAGTTGGTGGGGCAGTGGCCATTGCTTCACGACACCGTACTTTTAGATCGGTTCCAGGTCAATTTTGTGACGAGTACCTCTGTTTTTGGATATCCATACCGGGCTGCTTCTGAAGTACATTCCAAAATTACATCACATCGTAGAGAGGATTGGTAGTAAGCAATATTAAACATTGAAGTAAATGCCGCCCAATTTGAATCTTCTCATTAAGAAAACTCTCTTCCATCGATAAGCTATTTAAACCTGTTCTTCATCATCACATACCTCTTTTGATTGAACACTACTGACGTAAGCATCCTCCGAGACGAATAAGCAGATCTTCTTGTGTTTAATCACTACACAGATCAAGCAAGAACCTCTTTTGGTTCAGCGGAATAACTTAGTGATCTCCAATTTTAACTTCGGAGGCGGGATCAGATTGAAGTGTGACTTCGTACTTTGGTACATGATTTACCAGTGCTTTCATAGTCTCTGTTATTCAAATAAACATCATTCCAAAGTTCGTCGGTGACTTATTTCTTTAATCTAGCCCCTTTGAACATTGCCTCTCCATACTGGCGATCAATAATATTTTGTTCGTCATGATCATGGTGTTGTCCACGAGAAAGACAAACATGGCTCAGTCCTCTCGACTTGTTCGAGTGGTGGATCCGCGGCGCTTCCTACATTGCTATGCAGTCGCCGGAGATTTGATCCACGATATGAAAGTTTTTCATACTACAATATTGTGCAGTCGTACTAACGACCGAATTCCACGTCATACTATTGCAACCCCTCGCAGTAAAACAACGTAGAGGCGGACGCTCCAAGATGTTGATCAAATGGCCGTCAGGTGAACGAGCGCCGGGCAATCCGACAGTCCGTCGTTGCCGCCTGAATTTTAACTCGTACCCTGATGACCCACTTTAAATTAAGCAAGTCGAATACGGAGAACTTTTCGTCATATCGGAATTGTTCATTGTATAAAATTTTCTTTTACACGTTTCCTCACTGTTAGGGATGTGCCTATCGCAAGACGCGCCTCCATCCTCGCAGGAAAGATTAATCGGGCTGTATATAAAATCTTGCCATTTATTAGCAATTAAATACACGAATTTGTTTGACGCCCCACATAAACAAGTTCTTGTAGTTGCGTGTCCTTTGTCACTTCGAGTTTTAATGCACTGAGGAAAGTTGTAGTACCAGATGCATCAGCGCACACACATTTTGCGTATTAGAAATTCTCGTCATAGGCCTGCAACAGTAGGCGCGGGCCATCCTAACAATTTTGTTTGATCGTTGCGGTGTTGCTTTTACGCAACAGCGTCGGACTCACGCTTCATACCCTTCTTAGTCCCTTGACAATCAATGTTTTCTGCTGTATGTCGTTTTGCGTTCGGGGCACTGTATTCTTATGCATGATTCGTAGTCTTTTGCAATTCATAGCATTTCCGTCATCTCTTGTTATTGTTAATGCGACAGCTTCACTCTAAGATAATTAGATGTGCATCATTTCTAAGCGTCCGCTTTTCTGTCGCCTTAAAAATGATATGAGCTTGAACTCACGTGAGCTTGTTTCATGCAGCCATCTCCATGTTCCAAAACTCGAAATTCCTCATCCATAGTATTAAACTCCACCAAAAGAGATAAGTCCTGACTGGATCGTCTATGAGACCCTGCATGCACAGCGTGATAAGATAATGTTTATTCGGTGCATTGACCGTGATGCAACTCGTAAGATGACGTTTGTACTGAACATACGAGTTTACTCCACGTTAAACTTGCTTAATCATAAAGGGTTTAGAGCAAACCTTTGACTCTGATCGAGGCGGCTTAAATGTTTGCCTAAGCAAGAACTTAAAGACTTCTATCAACCCTTAGACAAAGAATTTTGTAGCTTTTGGCCCAAGGCCTAAGTCATCACAACCCTCGTAAGTTCATCTGAGCAAATTGGACCTTCAATTGTTCATCGACAACATGGCGAGCCCTATTTATGTCATCTAGAACAACAAACTATCTCAACCGTACTTTCTTTCCAGCTGCTTCATTTTTCGAGATTTCAATCTGTAGTAATTCGGGTCGACGTGTGTGTTTCGATCCGGTATCAGTAGCATGTTCCAACCTCAAAAGATCGAGCTGTTGAGTATCACGTCCTGTTATCAGCTTTGTCTGTTGAGACATTTTTGGCAAAGCAAGACTGCCTTACTCCGTTCAGCGCCAAGCTTACTTTTTTTTTGAGCTTGGCGATGGTGGCATTTCCCGTCTGTACCCAGAGCGGATATCATTGTGCCTACAGCTTTTTGCCCTTTCGTCGACTCAAACGCTTTAAGGCATCTCGCTCGATCTGATTCCAATCCGAGTAGCTTTTAAGCGTTAGATGGAAGTCTTCCGCTTCATTATCCCACATGTTAATGGTCGTTGGACGGAGTAATATTCGATATTAGATATGACGGGGCACCGGTTGCTTGTTCTGTCACAGTGCATGATACTTACATTGAAAACCAGAAAAGTTGGCGCTTTGAGACATCACGTACATGCAACGTGCAGAGGAAGGTTTTATTACGAGAAAAGGGCCACTGTGTAATGTAAAGTTAATCTTCTGTTAACAAATCCTACTATTTTTCCATTTAAATGTATCTAAAAAATAAAAATGTATTGACGCTATCTTCTCAACACTCATTGCGTTCTTCTGTTGTTACTTGGCTGGCTTGAATTTATGATTGGTCTGTATCAATTGGTGAGCAGTGTATAACTTCTGCAAAAAAATTCTGCTTGATTGAGCAAATGTCTTGAGAACATTATGTCTGTACTGAGGATTCGTACCTGATACTTACCCTATGTACATTATTACGTACCGGACTCACCTTGTTACATGTACCTTGCACGTACTGAGCGTGATCAAGCCTGTCCTCCACTCACAGATATATAAGCACATGAAAGAAGCTCTTTGGCTAGGTTACTATTGTGATGCTTGCTCGTGATTAGCTTTAAATCGATCAAAATTGAAAATAATCAAATAAGGTAATGATTGACGCTCGTAGAAAAAGGCCGATCACCTTGCCTAGATATACTGTACTATTATAATACGACAGTAGAAGCATCAATTTTTTCCTTATTAGTACTGCCTAAATTTAAAAAAAACAATCAACAGAGACTGCTGTTGAATGGTGTATTTCAAATTTAGTCAATTTTTATGTACTAAATATCTTACATTGATGAACGAACTCAAGATCTCGCTCTTCTAGCTTAACCAAGAGTCTCGCAAATATCTCTTGTCGTTAGACATCCTTGAGCCTCGTGTAATGTGTATTTTCTACGGATAAGCACTGCTATTTGTCCGCACCAATGCCATAGTCGGGCCTTCACCGTGTTCAACCTACTTGATGATATTATTAACGTATAAGCGTGTAATACCTTGTGCT